ACCACATTTGGATACACTGCAATTATACCCTTACGATTGTGTCATGTAAGGTAGTGTCAGTGTGCATGTGGCTGTAACTCTATCTACTTCTGTCTGTCTGACTTTGCACTTTGTGGTTAAAAAAAACCCAATATGATGTAGAGTAGCTGAAATACAAATTGATCTCACATCCAATCTGTCTTCACAACTCCCCCCACACTAATACCCCGAAGCTGAAGCTCAACAACGGGGCTTAAAGTAAAAGAACATAGTTTTCCATAAAAGGAACATCTCTGAAAAACCCATTCAAGGGCGTCCCACTTTTGTGTCTTCAGTCAAATTGTATTATTTAAAAACCTGTTTTGTGAACTGCTCTGTGTGCTTTTTGCGGGCACTACTGACTGCAGGACTACAGCTGGTCAATACACAGTGTTCATTTATTTACGTTTTATTGAATTCTACCTATTAACAAAAGCTGTCATGTCTAGTCCAATAATGTAAAATGTTTTGCTTTGATCAGATACTCCTCAAAATTAATTCAGGCAAAGTTATTTTATGTATGCCTTAAACTTTACATTAATTTGTTCACTTAATTAGTAACAAAGTTACTTCCTAAAACAGTTCAGTATAAGAGAACCATAAGATAAAAGCAGCAGGACACATCGGACAATAAAGCCGGATTGCCTTCATTTTACAATAGTGTAAGTTAAGTGCAGAAACAAAGCCTCACGATGTTGCAACAGACAGTGCATAATTGGTAACCTGAGCAGGTGTCACTAAGACTGCCAAATAGATCTTCTCTCCTACCAAGCACCAGTCTAAATAAACTCTTCAGATTGGAGCGAATCAGCAGACATTGAAGCTGGTGGGTCGCTTTGGAGCAAATTGGTCCTTCAGACTGTAACCAGAGAAGATGTGACAGGTTTGGCTTTTGGTGGCCATCTTTCATGCGTTGAAGAGGATCGGTGTCATACATGGTGGCCCAGTAAAAACCTTGGCCAGTAGCTGGCCTTCCTGTCACTTAATGTTGGACAATCCAGGACAGAATAACCCAGCACCGCAGGAGAAGGTTCCATGGTGCTGAATAGCAGAGCTGACATGAACGCAGAATCATTTCCAGCCTGTGAACGCTTCGGAGCATGACATGTTTTCCTGAGGATCTTGTCGTCGTTGGGCAATGTGCTTTGAACAGTGATCTTTCCACAGTTCAGCCCCCCTCGACGAGGAAGGGAAGAAGCTTCATAATTAAACTGATCTACAGTTCTAACCTCAAAGCATGGATTCAAATTGTTAACAGGCCCTTAGAAATGACAAGTCTTCCTGTGTTTTTCACTGTCAGTCATTCACCTCCCGACTCTGTTATTCCTGTCACTAACTTCATCAACATCCAGCTGAGAGTCAGACGACTCCACCCATGTTCCCCCTAGCTGGACGGACAGGCTTGTTTTTGAAAAGAGAGGAAAAATAACATTCTTCTACACCTCCCTGTTTCCATCCTTCCACCTATCCATCCATCACCCTGGGCTATTTTCTCTTTAAACACTGATTTGACCTCAGGTTTCACACCCAGAACAAGACTAAGCAGAGACACAGACGTCTCCCGACATCTATACATACAGGTCGTTGTAAGTGTGAGGTGCCTCAGATTCCGTCCCAGCTGGGGTTTCTGGGTAAATACCCTGCAATAGTGAAAGTTCCCACTAGATGGTGGCAGAACCATTTGAAGTTGTCAGACTGAGAGGGAGGCACATCTCATTGCAATTAAGCATATCCCATCTCTCCTCCACATGGTAAAGTGTCCCTTTACTCCCCCCATGACCATCTGATATTGTGAGATCTCAACCGACACGGTAAGAGCATTCTGACAGTGGGGAATGTTTCTTTAAGTATGTCTATAGGATCCTTTTGGGCCTTTTAAAAAGTCCCAGGTGTTCTGGGCTCTGCGACATGCTTCCTGGCACTCCCAGAGCTCCCTCAAATGGAAAGATGGATCCCTCCTCAGATTGGGGAATATGTGGTCATTCCCCTTTGGATGCAACAAAAGGCGAACGACTGATATTACAGCGCGGCATACCTTAAGAGTATTACTGTCCCTTGTCTTTCCTCAAGTCTGTCAATCCAATCACAACGCCTTATGACAAAACCGTGCTGTGGCCCTCTCTGTGAAACACTGAACTGATTTAGTACGGGTCAGTTATCTTGGCACGAGCGCGGTGGCTGTTAGGCTCAGTCTCCTCTTCAAACCGGCCTGCTGGAGTGATTTTGTGGTCACTGCTCGAGGCGCCGTTGCCCTTTCTCTGCTGGTCCTCTTAACCTATTTTATTGAAGTATACAAAGAGATGAACTCCAATTTCAGCAGGTTTTCCGCTTGTACGTGATGCTCATGCAAAGCTCTATGCAAACGACTCACCAATCTGGCCTACGGAATTGTGCTGGCGCGAAATGCCTGCAGGGTTTTCAATCCCATATCTTCTCTCGGTGGAAAACTGACCCTTTTTCAAGTGCTGTGTGATGAATGCACCATACTTTGTGCATCTCAATCCAGACGAAAAATATCTTTTTCTGATATGCTCCTGATGGCTTGCTTACCTGCTCACGATTAGGCATCTTCTGGATTGTATTATCTAGATGCTTTTTCCACAAGGTTCCACCTGGGGTCTGCCGGGCCCTGAGGTGAGTTCACATCACAGAATGTCAGACAGGCGTGGTAGCATTTTTCTACGTGGGCTGATTTCATGGTGTGTGTGTGTGTGTGTGTGTGTGTGTGTGTGTGTGTGTGTGTGTGTGTGTGTGTGTGTGTGTGTGTGTGTGTGTACACACATGTGGGCAAGGTGCCAGGAAATACTCACTCCTGTCCAGTTTTCACTGCGGAGGCTGAATGAGAGATTCTTTGTGAAATACACATATATATATATATAATGCATTTTCAGTCCACATTTTGGCCAACTGATATGGAAGGGAAGTCACAATATTTCAAAAAGTATGTGTGGCGGACACCACAACAAGAAATGGGGGGTCCCAATGAACTGAAAAGCTGCAGGTGTCTTGACGGTCCGTATCTGTGGCCAAGTGTCACATAGCACGGTGTGACTCAGTGTCCCCAAAGAGAACGTTTTTACAACACTCACCATCATGGGAGATGCAGAATGTAGCTTATCTCACAGCCGTGTTTATTTTGAGCATTTTCTTCCAGCGAAGTGAACAAGTAACAGGACCCCAAGGCTTTACAGTTTAGGAAACTGAGCTTGACTGGGCCACCGCACATGGGAGCTGACATATAATGGGTCATTAAGCCGCATGCTGTAAAGAACCAAAGGCTCGATCCTAATTGTTTTCCGTTCCCCTTTTTTCAGATAGCGTTCATGCTGGTGGCAGGACTTCGCTTGACTTAGGGACTTGTTGAGGTTTAGTGGCCTTTGAAAAAGCTTGTAATACCTTTTAGGAAACATTGGCTGGGGACCTGTTAAAGGTTCAATAAGATGGGCTGTGGCTGAGGCCAGGGAAAGGTGGACGGTGTCGGTGTGTGGCCAAGGCCGTCCACTGGGGCCCTCTATTACTTGTACTGATTTCAGCTTTCTGCCACCCTGCTCTGACAGCGCATACAAAAGCTGTCAACAAGTCGAGGTCACTGTCACTTTGAAGCATGAAGCAAACCCAAAGACACGTTTATAGCAAGTTCTTACCTACCTGTGAGGCCTGCTTTTACGGTTGCTTTCAACCTGTTTTGAGGTCTCTCGGGTGAAGCCTTATGTCATGTTTTAATAAGCGCCCAAGAGTTAAATTGCAAGGCTTTCCAGTGTTTGTAACATTGAATTGATGCTGCACTTTTCTTTGATTTGTCGTTAATTTTGTTTTTTTTGTATAGCAACGAGGCCTTTTGAGCTCTGCTTGATAATTTGACCTTTTTTCCGGGCACACCAAACTTTAAAGTGAAATGAAAGCTCTAAGCAAAGTCAGATATATGGAGCGGGTCTAAAGCAGTGGTTCCCAACTGTTCCAGCCTCAGTGTCCAGTTTCTCCTCAGTCATGAGTTCATAGACATAAGATAAATTAATACACTTTCCATGTGGGAAATAAAGACTTACAACAATAATAACAATAATAACAATAAGAATAACTTGCAGCCTGCAAACAAAGCTCTGCATAAAGCGATACACATTTTTCCAGAAATACTTCAAATCAAAAGTTGTTTTAGTTTATTTATTAGTTAAACGGTCCCACAACCTACTTTTGGACCGCAACCCACCAGTTGGGAACTTCTGGTCTAAAGCAAGTAACGTCTTAGTGTAGAAAAGTTGTGACCAAGTCTTAAATCTACTGCTCTGCTCTGCACTTGTCATTATCCTAATCAATACATATTAAACCGTTTCCTCCTGTTGTGGTTTAGGAGTTTATTGTATGCTACTACGTGTGTCTGCATCATCCACTGCAGGTGGAGATTTCAATGAGCCACAGGCTTTTTATGTGTGTTCTACAGCCCTTCTCTTCCTGTCCCTGCTCTATCTGGCTTTCCAGTTCAGCGCTATTATTTACGAAGCGATGCTTTTCCACGCCTGTTTGATTTTTCACAGGTCTGTTGCATTCGCTTGCTTACTTTCCCCTAAGCGGATAAAGTTTCTCTTGTTTCCGCTGGATGCTGAATAAAGTGTGGGGCACCTGGATGTATGTATGTATGTGTGTGTGTCTGAGTGTACGTGTGTATGCTTTCCTGGTGAGGTGATGTTGGCTCATGTACAAAGCAGGATGTTCAGCAGCTTAGAAAAAAAAAAAGTGTCAGGTTGTAAACACCTAGAGTCAACTGTGAAGACACACATGCACACTCTGTGAGTCATTCACTTTCAATCGCTGGCTCACCTACACACAGAAACATATATTTGATAGTATGGTAGGTATTAATTTCCATGGCTACAGCCATGAGATCCCACAACACAGAACACAGTAGCGGACTGACACTGACACACACGTGCATGCGGCCGTTCTGCCATTTGACAAGCAGGCTCTAAAATCTTGTTCTCTTGCAGGGCTCCATGGCATAAAGCCTGTCCTCACATTCAGCTGGTCCCTGGGGAGAGCTGCCGAGGAACTCACTACTCTGACGCCCCGCTGCCATTTTCCACAGCCTGAGGGGAATCAGGAAGCAGCCAGCAGGAGCCATGCCTGCCCTGGCCACCGGAGCCGGCCACGAGCCAGGTACAGACCCTTCGTCCAATCCCAAACACAAGAATCTCTGCACAGAAATGCACTCATCAGTGCACAAACAGACAAACGTGAACACAAGCACCAAGTGGGATGCCAGCCTTAAACTCAATATATCTTTTTTCAGGCTTTATTGTCATGTGCACATTAGCTACAGTGTAGATATGGCAATGAAAAACTTAAGTCACAGGCCCCTCCAACCGTGCAACATGAATATATATAGGACATAAAACAGATACAATAGTGCAAGAGAATGTTTGAGCTGTGCAAGTAATACAAATAAAATAGAAATAGTGCCAGAAGAGTCAATATACTAAGGATGTAACGATATATCGAATATCGCGGTAAATAAATGTCTCAATACCGTCGTGAGACTGACAAAATATACCGCGATTAAAAAAAAAAAGATTTAAATAATTTTTTTTTCTTTTTTTTTTTTTAATAACTTTTTTTTTTCTTCACTTTATTTAACCAGATGGTCCCGTTGAGATAATCAATCTCTTTTTCAAGGGAGACCTCTCCAACATGGCAGCAAGTAGGTTACAACATGAACATAAAACAACAGAACACAAAAGGACATGGTATTTACAGGGCTACGCGTACACCTAGAGACATCGACAAGTACCAACAGTATATGTACTATATCTCGCCCTGTCAATAAGCCTCACCTTCTTGGCAAAAACTGCATTGTTTTTGAAGTGGTGGAGAGACAATGCACAGTTTGACCCACTGCTGTCACCCATGGCCAAAGCATATCTCTCTGTCCCAGCAACATCAGTACCAAGCAAGAGAGTTTTTTCCACAGTAGGGGATATTGTAAACGCCCAAACATCCCAGCTTCTACCTGGAAATGTGGACATGCTCATATTCCTAAAAGATAACCTTGATGATGCAGAGAGAGTTGAGTTACTTGAAAAACTAAAGTGAAACTTGATTTATTCTATTGCAGGGTCTGATTATTATATTGTTGACACTTTAAAATACTACTATCCTACTAAAATGCTGTACAAATCAGATTTATTATTCACNCTAATTCAAATAACTTTGTTGCTTTAAGACAATTTCATTAGAAGTTGTCTTAACTCAATAAACATCGATCAAACTGTTGCGTTGATTTTCTTTGTTGAGCCGAGGCATTTGTTTTTAGAGTGTGCTGTGCGGTGTGAGGCTGGAAAAAGGAGTCTTTTTTATTCTGGTCCTTGGTCTTGGAATGACCTTCAATCAAGCCTCAAACTGAGGGCACTTGTCCCTATAGCCTGTTTTAAATTGAAGTTGTCTTCGGTCCTTACCACCAGCTGCTCTTGCAGTAATAAGTAGTGTACCTTTCTTACTGTCCCTAATGTGCTCAATGTAGGGACTGCTTTTTTGTCTTTTGTTTTTTTAGTTATGTTCTCTGTATTGTATATGTTTGTGTTATGTGTTATGTGTAACGTTGCTGCTATCCTACTAAAATGCTGTACAAATCAGATTTATTATTTAATAAATAAAAAAAAAAAAAAATTCACATTTTTTTCCCTTTATTTTTCAATATCGCGATAAATATCGTACCGTGGATTTTTTATCGCGATATTATCGTACCGTGAGTTTTTGGCATCGTTACATCCCTACAATATACTAGTAAATGGAATATAATATATGGATAAATAATTTGCAAGATGCAAACAGATGAATGTCTATGGATGTTCATGGATGTTCTTCACAGAGTTCAGGTGTTTAATAATGTTATGGCCTGTGGATACGGAAGCCAGGTTTTGTGCCACCACTTAAGTTTAATTTTATATTAGAAATGATTTACTTTGAAACTGTCTTAGTCGGCCTTTTCTCTGGACTTGAATGAACGCTCTAAAAACTGTGGTTGGAAAACAAACCAGAGTCCATTTTCACTTATTTTGTTCCCTTCCAAATGAAAAACGCACCATGGCAAATAATCACATCATGCATATTTACAGTTTTAACAGCAACAAATAATATCCAAATATACACTCCATCTCTCTGTATGTTTTTCTGTTTGTAAGTGTGTGTGTGATGGCGTCATGTCAAAATAAGGAGAACACGTCAAGCTTGTCAACGCCGAGACAGCTGCCAGAAATCACCACCTCTCTCCCCTCAGGAGCACTATCCTCTTCTCAGTCTGGATTAATGGCCGGCTACATCATCACGCACGCACGCTAGCACGCACGCACGCACGCACGCAGAAGACCCGACGAGAGCATGATAACAAAAGGACAAAAGGAGGACAGACATTATGTCCCGCTCTGATGGATAAAGAGTGTGTGGGTCTCTGCGTCCAGACTTTTAACAGAGTTACCGTAGCCCCCGTCATCCTGGAAATGTGCGCAGACAAAGTAGAAAGCCAGACCGCCAATTACGATTAGAGTCATTTTGTGGCAATTACCGGCAAGGGCTCAGGTTTCCAAATAAAACACGTAAAGACTCCTCTGCTCCGTCTCCTCTGATTCCCCCGTGATGGTCCTGTGAAGTTTTGTGCGCAGGTGAAACATGATGAAGATTATTGATGAACGTTAGATCACTGATCTCCAGGCCTGGTGATGTCACACATACTCACAGCTGGCATTGGCACTGCCTGGCACTCTACCAGCATTTACACAGAACTCTGTATATCTTTTGGAACCATAACAATGCCGCTTTTTTAAAGAGATAAAGTGTTACTAGCATGTTGGAAAATGGGACATATTAAGAAATGCAAGACATAAACCTTCCACTACATCTGTTCTTGACAGATGGAGACTTTTAACACTGTAAATAGAAAAGTACAATTTAAAAAACATGTGAAGGAATTATTCCTGTATTACTGTATCATTGTCTCAATCTATACTGAATACTTCATAAAAGTGGTATTTTCCTGGTTTTACAAGCTTGGGGAAACACTTTTCAGAAGTTTTATTTTTTAATTGTGCCCTCTTCTGCTAGTACAACATATTTAAAATAACATATTTGATCCGAAACATTGTCCTATCTATTCTTTATTATACTTTAAGAATAATGTTGAAGCAGTAAATAAAAACAAATAGTAGTAAATGTGACAGTTTCAGAAATAAAAAGTAGGATCAGATACTTTATTAAGCCCGCCCTAAATACATGTAATTTAAAGAGGAATTTAGTAGTAGTGGGAAAACGACCCATTTCCGTAAACTAAGTCAACAAACCATGATTATTAGCCATGTTGAGCAGCTAACTATAAAATGTACTGTATCTTTATTAATATTCCACACAATAATAAATACATAAACACACAATGAGGGCAGTTAATCATGTTATCTGCATTAGGAAAAAAGGGGTTTACCTGACCTGAACCAGGTTCCAGAATGATCTCAGATTCTACAGGAAAATATCTCAAAAACCTTGTGATGTCTAAAAGCAATCCTGACTTCATCCCGAATTCCTCCAGGATCATAAATAATAACACGTATCTATTCTCTCTGCGGTTTCCAAGACCAAGAATGTTTAAAAGTTCATGTCACCAGGTATCTGTTGGAAAAACATTCCACTCCAACAAAATCGTAAATCGAAAAAAACGATCTTTTTATTAATTTTAGGTCGAATTGTATTCCCCAGCTAGCAAACAACAGCATCTTATTTATATTTAACATTATTGAGTGAATAACTTAAGCTCAGAAGGACAACAGCAACCTCTTCCCCACACAACATAGTATCCTTCCTTAAAATATGTTATCATCCTTAGTAAATAGAAATCCCAGACATGTTGCATAAGAAACACTCTTTATATCACTAAACATTGATTTTACCAAAAGTCACTGTGTTAGAAAACAGTCCTGTTCTTAAAAAACAAATCTAATATTTACATTTGTTATTATGACTGTTAGTAATCATGTCTAAATTCTGTAATTTAACGGAACCGTTTTGCACTTGCTGACGTGTAGTCTCAGTTCAGAGGGCGTCCTCATCAGCTGCAGCGGGACCCTCTGCAGCGTTCTGGGGATTTGGCGTGTAGGTAGCAACACCTCTGCAGACGAGCATAAATCCACAGAGGCTAACAACACCGCCTCCACATTGCGGAGGCTGCCAATAATTACAGAGACATTTCGGGGTCTTGCCAGGACCTTACCTTCTTTTCATTAGCAGCCCTGCCATCTGCAGACCCCTCAANNCCCCCCCCCCCCACACACACACACACACGCACGCACGCACACGCACACGCAAGGACAGAAGATGAAGTACTGTGCTGGGGCTTTTAACATAATGGGGGAAAATATTATCATTAATTTAACTATTCTTTAGAAGCAGCTCTCCTTTTTCATCCCCAGATTTGGATGTGTGTGTGTGTGTGTGTGTGTGTGTGTGTGTGTGTGTGTGTGTGTGTGTGTGTGTGTGTGTGTGTGTGTGTGTGTGTGTGTGTGTGTGTGTGTGTGTGTGTGTGTGTGGCTCTTATTAAAATGCTCATTATCGGAGTGTTTGGAGAGCAAATACGTGGGTAGACAAATGGAGGGCGCATGTAAGACAACACCATCTCTTTCTCTCTCCCTCTCTTTACTTTCTCTCCGTCTAAGCCCAGATAAACAACTTGCCTCCATGTGAATTAGATTTTCATAAAATGTCACCAAAAAGTGATAAAAATCTACTTAAAAAAAGCTATAAAATATTGGAAAAATTGCTCAATACTACCATGGGGAGTGTTTAAGAAAATGTTCTGGTGATTGGGTTACTCTGAACTCATTTGACTGTGTGACTTTTTTTTCATAATTCTTTGGAAGCAGGTTAATCACAGGGCTTTATTTAATGATGCTCGCCTTGCTCAAGATGTTTGAATTTTTGTACCTCTCCATTCTTCCAGAAAACCCTGCCCCACGCTTTGGACGCTGTTATGTGACATTTTGTTGGCTGCCGCTCTTAGGATCTAATACTCATATTAATTCCCACTGTAACAAGGCAGCCAAGAAAAGACACAAAATGAGCTTTTAATTATGCAAACACTTCAGAGGGGCTGATGATTGGAAGCTTGCGCCACATAGACG